TTTTTTTAAAATGCAAATAAAAATATTTATAATTATTTTTTCAACATATCAATTTTTTATTATTTATACTTTTTTATTAGTTAAAGTATCCAATTTTATATTATTAAAAAGTTGTCCTTTTTAATATTTATACATTTAAAAGTACTTTTAATCATATATTATTCAAAAAATTTAAAATTTACTAAATTAATTTTTGAAAAGATCTCATTACGATAATTGATTTTTATCAAACTAACTTTTATTAAATGAACTTTTAATAAATAAATTCTTAATAAACTAAAAACTAAATGCATCCTATAACTACTCTAGCTTGGCATCTTATCTCACTTGGAGACTTGATAAATTCTTGATTAGACCCAAGATATCACATCATTTATGATTCACATAATAAAATTATACCAATTTAATTAAATACAATCTTATGTATTATTATTTTTAATAATTTTATTCTTATAATTGAATGTTTATTTAATTTCTTGTTCTTGTTCTTTTTTTATTAATATCAGAATCAATTTATATTTGATATTATTTAAATGTTATATTTTTATTAAATAGATCATAAATGACATAATATATCTTATTCATTTAAAATTTTTTCATATTACTTGTCTATTTGCGGCTTTCATCGGTGTCTTTGTTAAATGAGGGATTTAAACAAATATTGGTAGGGAATCGATGCTTTCATAAGTTTGTTTTTTTTTCTTTGGGACAAATCTCACATTGTCGAAGAAATGTAAAATTTGAAAATTGAAACAGCCAGCACTGCTTTCTTTCTTTTTTGAAATTAATCTACAAATCTTTATAGATTTATTCAATTTTAAATTTGATCTCCATAATTTATTTTATTTTGATAAAGCCTTCATAGTTTAATTGATTAAATATATTAGTTCTTAATTGTTAAAATATTTTAATTTTTATTTTAAGAAAATGAAATTAAGGACTTTTATATATCTATTAAAAGATTATATAATTTTAGAATTAATTACATAATTTTTATAACTCAAAATTCATATAACTAAGTTATGTCTTCTAAAAAACTTATATGTATATATATAATTTTCATAAAAATAATAAAAATAAAAATATTGTATTAAATAAATTTTTTGGCTAAAAATATTAAACCAATTTTTTTATAAATTTTAAAAGTATTTTTATTTTGAAAAATTCAATCATTTATTAATAATTTTAAACTTTAGAGACTAACACATTTAATCAATCACATTAAAAAATTAATTAAAATAAAATAAATTACAAGAACTTAATTCATAATTGATGAAAGTTAAAAGAACATGTGGATTAATTTTTCCTTCTATAGTTTTTTTTTTTTTTATGAAGCAATACGGCTTTCAATATTGGATCCACTTTTTGGCCCATAAACTTGGGTCCACACTTTCTATTAGATAAACAAATAAATTAATATTTAAACTTTAAAGTTAGTAACATTATAAATTTTAAACTTATTTATTATATAAATTATTTTATTATCTTTTAAACAGTATAATCTAGTCCATGCTGTTAATAAAAATTAACTTTAATTATTAATTAATTAAAAAATAATAGAAAAAGATTAAAAAATTTCTAGGTGATGTAATATTTTGGGGTCACTGTTTATAGTTGTTGAGTTCTTTATTGCAAATTTTTCTATCCTTTTTCATAATTTTTGACATTGATTATTTTTTAAATTTTTAAAAATTTATTTTCCTCCCTTTTTAAAACTAAATTCACACAAATTTAGAATCATATATATATATATATATATAGATTGATAAAAAAATTGACTCTCATTAATTAATAGATTTTAGGTTAATGTTAATATAAAATTTTTTTTGATTTATTAATGAGATTTAATTTCTTTTCTTATTTTTTTATGTATTTTCAGTCTACTTTTATGGGAGTATTGATTCAAAAGAGTCACATTTTAAAATTTTTCTAATCATTAGCATTAATTCCATCTGGTTATCCTTCTCCATTCACTGTACTTTCTCATGCCTTTTTAATTTTCTTGATCAATGTGATTTAATTTATTTTTTTATTTTTCACGTATTTTCAATTTACTTTTATGGGAACATTGATTCAAGAATAGTCTCATTATTAAATTTTCTTGACCGTTAGTAGTAATTCCATTCACTGTCCTTTTGCATTTATTGTACTTTCTCATGTCTTTTTAATTTTTCTAATAAATGAGATTTAATTTTTTTCTATTTTTCATGTATTTTTCTGATTCGCTGTATCCAATATCATTCAACTTTTATCAACTATCATCCACAAATATTGTCTATGAAAAGAAAAAAAAAGGAAATAAAAAGAAGTTTAAATTTGATTTGAGTCATCAACCCTTATTTCGTGGTTTTGGCCTTTCAAATTATATATGTTTTACCGTACATTTTGCCTTGCCAAGATAACATGGTGACTACTTAAATACTCTAAATAGAAAACACTTGAGTAATAGAGGTATCTTTTTGGTAATCTTTTTGTTTTGCACATAAAAAAGAAGAATAATAACAAAAAAATAGAATACGATTGAATAAAAGAGGGATCCTTTTAGATTCTTTCTTCTATCCATATTTATAAAAATACAATTTATATAGTGTCTAATTTTTGTTATGTAATTGAAAATGAGGAGTTATTGAGAATTTTAAAAAAATATTTTTTTAGGGCCAATATTCTCTAAGCACTGTGAGAACATGTATTTGCTAGATAGTTTTTCACTATAAACTTTAGAAATGAAGATAAAATATATACAAATAAAATATTCAAAAAAAATACTTAAATAAAAAAACTTCTAAAAATTTAGCCATATCATATGTATGGATTCAATAAGATTGATGATATTTGTTTTAAATTTTTTAATTACAACCAGTACAATGTACGGAAACTGTCTAGTTTATTTCTTAAATCATGACAAGCAGCGGGTGAACACGATGAAAGCGAGACCGCTGTAGTGTCGATATATTTTCCTGAATAAAAAAATGTCATTCACAATGGAAGAAACAAAATTCGGAGCATTCGTGTAGTTAATATCTTTCAATTTGATTTCTTGTTTCGCACTATTCCTACATACGAGTTTCATATTCATCAAGCTCCAATAATCAAAGGAAAGAGAGTTGAACAAGATCATATGTATGGACACCAACCTTATGTTATGAGACTTGTATTGGGAAATCTCACAAGTTAATTAAGGTTTATAAATGAAAAAAAGTTTTTTCACCAAGCTTCTTTTGAAATGAGTTATCCATTTATACCTATGTTTATCACATTGATGTTTTTATTAAAAGATCGGGATCGTGCAACACAAAAGATTTTAACTAATGTAAAGTCAAGTGAGGTGCCATGAAACAGAGCTTATTAGAAATGTTGGCTCTCAACATGATAACGTTATCATAGCTCTTACATCAAAAGGTCACATAAGTTGAGTAAATATATAAGTGTGAGGAGCTTTTTTTTTAAACTTGCACTCATCACATCTTGAACTGTATTAACTAAGAATTTAGGTTCTTTGTACATATGAACGATGCTTTAATTAGGTGTTTGAAAAAGTGGCACTATTTGCTACATCATAAAGTGAGTGCATAAAGTTAAGAACTGAATATTCAATCTAGATAGAGTAGTATTAAACAATTCCATTCAATTACTTCTTTATTAGTTGTTGGATTTTAAAAAATTTGGGCGAATCAACTTGTAATTTATTATTCCATTCGAATCATTGCATTAAGAAAAAATTTTATTTTTTAAAAACAAAATACTCATTAGTAAATGTGTCATTTTAACTGAAATTAAAAAATAATTATCACATTTTTTTGACCCGCAAATTGTTATTTACATATGTCTGGATATGGAGCTGATAATTCGGATAGGAAAATAATGCCTTCAGCTGCCCACCGTACTTTCCATTTTTTATATTTCGATTGATGATGTGCTTTTTTTTTTTTTTAAAAAAAGTGATGTTTTATTTTATGTTATGATCAATTACTTAACATAATATTTTGTTTATGGTAATTTAAAATGTTAATGTAACATGAAAAATAAATTAAATAAACGGCAATAATTATCAAAAGTACGTATTGTAAGAAAATATAAATATAAATTTATCGGTAATGAGTTGGTGTATAATGCCAAAAACTGGGAGAATAGTGCCCAATTTTACAGCTGTTTTTTGTTTGGCCAACAATCATAATCGTTGACACCAATCAATAATATTAAAGAAAATTATGTATATATCTCATTAAATTGATTTATTTATAATTAAATTTTATAAAATTTAAAAATTACAGCTAGATTTCTTAACACATAAGTGTAATTTAAAATTAAGGTGTTAAAATAATACTGTTTTTACTTATTCTATTCATTTAAAAATGTAAAACATTTTTAATTGAATCTCACTCTTGATAAAATAGTTACCTAATTACAAACTAATTTTATTTTTTTATATTTATTTTTATTAAATACGCTACATTAAATATAAAGTTATTTATCAATATAAACATTTAAAAAAAAAGATAATAATTTTATTTTAAAAAATTAAAAATATTTTATATTTTCAAACGAGATAGTATATAAGTGATAGGAATGCCCGTCTTCCTTAATTACCCCTTACCCCCCCTCTATTCGTTCACGATCGCTTTCTTTGCGATCGCTCCACCGCGTTCTTTTTCTTCTTCGTTATCATAGCATTGTGATCGACACTCTCTTGGCCTTCTTGTTTCTCACTAATTGCTTGTGATTGACACTTGTGTTTAGTTTTACACACTTTACACAAGTAAAATTTTTAGAGTTGTTTGTGAAACCTGTTATAAAAAAAGTAAAAATAAATGCTTTTTATATTCTCTTTTATTTTTTAAAATAATAATTTTAGAGAATTTACTTTTAAATGATTTTTCTATTTATCTAACCTTTAGAATAATAGTTAATTTTTTTATTTATTCTCCAATGAACTTTATAAAAACACATTATTAAACATTTTTTTTACTTTTGTTGTTTTGTAGACAAAAACGGTTGCCAAACAAGCTCTTCTTCTCCGTACAAAGCTAGGCGGCCGTTCTCAATCGACTCTATCTCTCATTTCGTTCTTCCTCTCAACCCAGAAGCCTCTCATTGTTTCCTCCGTCTCCGTTGCTGCAATCCACGCTGTCTGAGCCACCACCGGCTTCTACGCCACAATCTTACCGTAGACCTAAACTCTTTCCTCAGTCTCAATCTTAACTGCTCCGCCGCCGGATATCAGTAACTGGTGGTTGGAGAAAACATGGCCGAGTCAACTTCTCTGACGTCTGAGCAACTCTTGCCGAGTGATCTCATCTGACGAATTACAAAGGCGCGCGTCTTCTTTTTCCGTCATCGTCTCTCCCGTCTTATGTAAGTTCTTTCCCCTCTTTCTTCTTCGCCAGTTTCTTCCTAGCTTTACTCTCTCCCGTTTCTTGATCGGTTTCTTCTTCTTGTCTTTTTTTTTTCATCTTCGTTTTCTATCTTAGTTTTTGATTTTCTTATTTTCTATAGTCCGAACTCTTCCCCCTTATTATTTTTTAGATTTCAGTCTCTCCTCTTTGTCTCTCCCATGGCCAGAAACCTGTACGCACATGATCAAAAAGTGCAGGCAGTGAAGAATCGGGAAGAATGTCTATAAAAAACGCAGTCGATAATTTTGCAGATTTTCTAAGGTTAGTTTTTTGCATTCCCAGTTTGATTTTTGTTTTTGATTTGTATTTTTTCTTCGAAAATAAACAAATGGACATCATTTTCATCTTTGAATGTCTTCGAGATTTCTTGGGTAATCTATTTCTTCACATTTAGTTTATACTGTTTAAGGTTTCATCAACATTTGGCATTTTCGTTTTAGTTTTGCATTAGCATTTGCTAGCTGTTTTTAGCTTTCACATATCTACAGTAGTTTGTTGATGATGAATGATTAATGTTCTTGTTATGTTGATTTCAGGTATATTTGAAACTGAAAGGCTTGAGAGAGACTTGCCATAACTTCAAATAACGACAGGGAATATTTTTGTTCTGGGATGGCTGCGCTTCTCTGAAGGTTCCAATTGTTGGTAAATAATGTCTTTAAATTCAGGGATTCAAGGATGTAATCGTTTAAATGGGTAGTTTATGCGGGAAATTTTGGCCTGCTTTTATATAAGATGTTCAAGGTTTTGCTTCTGATTTTTGTACTTTTCCTATCATGTAGTGCTTTGAATGTTTTTGTGCAGGGTATGTGGGTTTTGGTATAACACGTATTATGTGTAGTCTAAAGCATATGAATTTATTATGTGTAGTCTAAAGCTTATGAAGCTCCATTGTAACAATCACTTCTCTCAACTTCCAATAACACGTATTTGTGTAGTCCCATCACTGCACCATCCTTGAGTCAGTAAACTTACAGGGCAGCCCCCTTGTTTTATGTAGATTATGTGGGTTTTGGTATACCAATGATTAGAAATCTAATTGCTGTGGGCTAAGCTGACCTGTGCATTGAGCCACTTACTATTGACTTATACATGAGACTTTTATTATGTATGCTTTAAATAATAAATACATTCCAGTACAAGCATATGTATTTGTTTTTTTCTGACTTATGTTTATGTTTTTTATAGGGACATTTTGATGACACTCGGGGGCTCCCAAATTGCTGTCAAAAGCACCTAGGAAAGTCAAAGAGTTGGTACGCTCTTTTTTTATAAAATGAATAGAATACTGAAGTTTAGTTGCTTTCTAGCTTTATTGGTGTTAGCATAATTAATCATCATCCCTGTGATGAATTTAGGATGAGAATAAAAGCAAGAAGGTCTTGCAGAAATTTATGATATTTGTTTTTTTTTTAACTTGCATTCCAACATATAAATGCCTCACTGTAACTCCACTCATGTTGCCTTTGCTTATGATATACCTAAAAATTCCCTTTTATTATTAAATTTTGTACTGCAGGAAGAATATGTTTAGAAGACAGGCTAATGGGGATGATTGCTTATATTTTAAGTTCATATATAGAAAGACCAGCATTAAAATCTAAAATCCAGAAAAAATATTTTAAATGTGGAAGTCGAATCGATTCTGAACATAAGAATGTTCAGATCAGATTAAAATACAAGAGATTTTCTCAGATAACAGATAAAAAAAGAAAATAACAATTTATAGATCGCCTCTTTATCTCCTATGTTGTACATTATTCTCATTTTATTTATTTAAAAATCTTTATTTAATTTATTTCTATTCTAATCTTTCGAATTTCTAATTTAGATTAGAATATTATTATTGTATATCTATTATGAGGAGAAAATATACAAAGACAAAATATGCATTTTGGTATTCTAATTTTATCCAGTACAATCACATTGATTAGTATTTATGATGTATTGTATTCTAATTTTTCAATCCACTTTTTCACTTTCAAAACTTCCTCCATCTTCTTCAGATTTTTTTCCTTAAAAGGCTGATCTTTTCTGTCATCCTATTCTTTTTTTTTTTTTAACTCCCTTTCTCTTCTTTCTTTCATCCTTTGCTTCATAGTATTGAAATCCGTGTAGGGGGTCTTTGCATTCTTCTGGTCTTAAGTTCATTCCACTTTTAAATTTCAAAACTCCCTCCATCTCTTTATATATATGTATATATTTTAAAAACTGGTCTTTGCTGTCATCCTATTCTTATTTTTTCCTCCCTTTTTCTTCTTTCTTTCATCTTTTGCTTCATAATTTTGAAATCCGTGCAAGGGGTCTTAGCATTCTTCTTGTCTTATTTTACCTGCCATGTTTTCCTTCATATGAGGTAGCATCTTTATATATATATATATTATATCATTGGTGTATGTGATAATGCCAATTTTGTGAAATATGGTTTCTGATTTTTAAAGCATCATTTAAGTTTTGCATATTGTTTGTGACCATTGGATAAGAAAGTGTTTTCATGCCTAAGCTGTTGAGGGTCCTTAGATAGACATGTAGTCATCAACTTTACAAATAATATAGTGTTTTTTAACTAAAACTCAACAAGTGCAGCTTTTCTATCATGTATCAGAAGCAATGTCAGCTTTTCTCTCAAGTAAGACTCAAAAGTGACTTCATTCAAGCTCGTTGGATTGATCGCATTGTCCAAAGTATATTAGTTTCGAATAAAGTTAGATATGTTTTTACTAACCAATGCAAGCTGACTTGAGAGAAAAGAACATCGCAGATGCATAAAGTCCCTGATCAAGAAGTGACCTTATTTAATTTGAACCCATCTTAGATGCATAAAAAGGCACTGCCTCATTTCCATATCAGAACTTGTTGCTATTTGACAATAATAAGCGGGCTCCATTTTGTGCATTCTGGACATCTCAATGTAAGAGAGAGAGGCCATTCACTAATTAAGAACTTAAGCCTATTTATCCACCAAAGGAGGAAAGAATCCATACCATAAATAGGTTAAACCATAGACAATGACAAGTGGGATAAGAAGTCTATTAGTATGCCTCTTGACTTCCTTTGTTGATTTGATTTAAAATTCAATATTTATTTTCAACCTTGACTTTTTCTATTGTTAGTCCATTTGTGTTGATTCTAATTAACTCATGTCATAGAGGAGAGCATTATTTCGTGCTAGAAATACATGGGCTTAAAGAACATGTATAGGCTATGGAATTTTGTTTTTTTAATTTTATATTTTTTTCTGATTTGTTCTTACTGCTTACTAATGCTGTCAATTTTATAAAAGTTGTTGATTGTCAATATTGTGAAATTGACTTTTTAACTTTTCTGGATAAAGAGACTTAATCTCTATCATTTTGCTTTTTCAAACTTGTCTAATTGAAAAAAAAAATTCTTTGCATTTTGATAAGATATTCCCTAATAGTATACTCCCTTCGGTCTTATTTATAAGACACATTCTAGAAGTAATTTTTGGTCCAAAAAATGGGATGCTTTGCAATAATTAAACCACTTTTTTCAATTTTACCCTTTCTTAATTAGCGTAAAGGTATTTAATATAGCTATATTATTATTTAAAGTCAAGGATATAAATGAAAATGCATCTCACTTTTTTATGATATCAAGAAAAAAATTGTTCTTAATATGCATGAAATGATTGAAAGTGTCCTATAATAAGGATTAGAGGGAGTATTTCTTTGTCTAGCATGCCTGAGAAGTGAGATGTGCAAATTGAGATGTGCTAGAGGTGTGGCATTTCAAAGTGAAAAAAACTTATCATTGTGTAATATATTTGGCAAATTTTTGTGGGTAAAGGTGTATTATTGCCCTTAAAGTATTCTTCGAAAAGCACTCAGCACTCTAAACTATTGGTTGGAGCAATTTTGCCTTTAATGTAATTAGGATAGAGCATTTTTGCCCTTGCCATCAAATTTCCAATGACTATTAGAAATATTAACTAGGACTCCAACGTTGACCATTTTAGAATTTAACGGAAAGGGCAAAAATGCTTCGTTTTAATACTTCAAGGGCGAAATTGCTTTAACCAATAGTTTAGGTTGCTGGGTGCTTGTTGGAGAATACTTTAGTGATAAAAATGCATCTTCACCCAATTTTTTTTTATAAGATTTGGCTCAAATTGCCTTGATAACTGGATGACTAAGAGATTAGTGAAGTGGGGAAGTTGTAGCCACAGAAGTGGAGAGAAGAGTGTAAGATATCAAAACTAACTGTAAAATTGAGATAAGATAGTAGGGAGTTTACTTATGATATGAAAAAGGCTTTTTATTGTTGTTTTGATTCAACAATATTTAAAAAAAATTAAGCCCATTCCATAACGATTACACCTTAAAAGCACGAAGTGTGGGCCCTCTGGGGTAGGGATGCCCACCCCACAGTCATTAAAGAAAAAGTGATTATTTGTTGGAAACTGATTTTAGGAGTCAGTGTCTAAATCCAAGAAGATTATTTGTTGGAAATAGATTATAATCAATATGTCATCAGATCTTTCTTCATTAATAATGTGAGGCATGCAATTTGATTTTCTTCTGTCATTGTTGAATGGTATACTTTTTGCGACTCAACTTTCTCTTCTGAGGTGCTTTCTGTTATATTTTCATTGATAAATTTTGATCAATGTTGCTTTCACGATTTTCATGTTCAATTAGATTGTAACTCTGGTTGTATATGTGATTATGCAGTTGAATTCCTCTTGATTCTTGTGAAAAAGATGGGCTATCATGTCTTGCCCATGCAATGTTATACTTCCTATTATCAAGAGAAAAAGGCTTCCTAAATCAGTTAAGGACCTCCCTCCAGGCCTTTGAAGTTATTTCCTGTGTGCTTGTCTGGTTTCATTGTTCTCTAGCCCAAAAAATGGCAAATCTTCCTGTGTCATTTTCAATTCAAGCAGGCCTTCAAAAACCAAAGGCCATTGAAGCATCTCAGCTTAGTGAATGTAAATATGGAAGTAGATTGTCTGGATTTGATACCCCAGGTGTAGAAAGAAAGAAAGTTTGTACAGCAATGCACAGTATCATTAGCCCATTTTACCAGAATTTCACTACAAGATTGTATGGTACATCCCGACTATCCATCAAAGAAAGTAAAAGGCAAGTTGCTAAATTTACTGAAGTTGAAGATTTAAGAAGTGCATTGAGTTTTTTGTTCAGGACAGAAATTGGCGGTCAGGTTAAAGTTTATGTTATCAAGAAAAATGTCAAGTATTTTGTGTATATTGAGGTCTCTTCCTTACAATTACATGGTGAAGGATTGGTGTTGTGTTGGGGTGTGTATAGAGCCAATTCATCATGTTTTGAGCTTCCAGATTTTGAAAGTTCAGCTACAGATACAAGAACAGGGATGAATCTGAGCCCATTCCAACAATCATTGTCAGGCAACTTTACAATTGAGTTGGAATTTGATGCCAAACAAGTTCCCTTTTATTTCTCATTTATCCTGAGATCATCATTGAATGCCGAGTCAAGTGCATTTGATATTAGAAGTCATAGAAAAACAAATTTCTGTGTGCCAGTTGGTTCTCTTCCAGGGCATCCAGCTCCGCTGGGTCTCTCTTTCTCTCCTGATGGTTCAATGAATTTTGCTATTTTCTCAAGGCAAGCAGAAGGTATGGTTTTGTGCTTGTATGATGATACCAATCTTGAGAAACCTGCCTTAGAGCTTGATCTAGATCCTTTTGTCAATCGATCTGGTGATGTATGGCATATTTCGTTTGAAAATGCTTGGACATTTGTGAGTTATGGTTATCGTTGCAAAGGAGCTCTTTTTCAGCAAAACAAGGATGATAATTATAACAAGCATGTTCTTCTAGATCCATATGCAAAAATTATTGGGAATTCTTTTCCTAATGGTTATGAATCAGGTTTAACTGCAAAGTTTCTTGGGAGGTTGTGCAAGGAACCTGATTTTGATTGGGGTGATGATTTTCATCCAAATTTACCAATTGAAAAACTAGTGGTCTATAGATTAAATATTGAGCACTTTACTCAGCATAAGTCTAGCCAGCTACCTACTGGTTTAGCTGGGACCTTTGCTGGTTTGGCTGAGAAGGTGCAGCATTTTAAGGACCTTGGCGTTAATGCAATTCTTTTGGAGCCAATCCTCACATTCGATGAACAAAAAGGACCATATTTTCCTTGTCACTTCTTTTCTCCAATCCATATTTTTGGACCATCTGGTGGTCCCATATCTACAATCAACTCTATGAAAGAGATGGTGAAATATTTGCACGCTAATGGGATTGAAGTTCTTATGGAAGTTGTTGTGACCCATACTGCTGAGGTGGGAGCACTGCAAGGAATTGATGACTTATCCTACTATTATGCAAATGGAGTTGGTGATTCGAACATTCAAAGTTCCCTGAATTGTAACTATCCTGTAGTGCAACAATTGATTTTGGATAGCCTTCGGCATTGGGTTACTGAGTTTCACATCGATGGCTTCACTTTCATAAATGCTTCACATCTGTTGAAGGGGTTTCATGGAGAACACTTGTCTCGACCTCCATTGGTTGAAGCAATTACTTTTGATCCATTACTATCCAAGACCAAGATCATTGCAGATTGCTGGGATCCATACAACATGGTTTTCAGGCAAACTCGGTTTCCTCATTGGATGAGATGGGCAGAAATGAATGCTAATTTCTGTAATGATGTGAGGAATTTTTTGAGGGGTGAAAGCCTTGTTAGCAACCTTGCAACTAGAATTTGTGGGAGCGGGGACTTGTTTTCTGACAGACGAGGCCCTGCATTTTCTTTAAATTATGTTTCCAGGAACTTTGGACTTTCTCTCGTGGACTTGGTCAGCTTCAGCAGTGGGAAACTAGCTTCAGAATTAAGCTGGAATTGTGGAGAAGAAGGGCCTACTAATAATAGGCATGTCCTTGAAACAAGACTTAAACAAATCCGTAATTTCCTTTTCATCTTGTTTGTGTCATTAGGAGTACCTGTTCTGAACATGGGAGACGAATGTGGTCTGTCTTGTGGGGGTTCTCCTGCATATGGAGACAGAAAGCCTATAGATTGGAGTGCTTTAAATTCAGGTTTTGGTAAGCAAATCTTGCAATTCATTTTGTTTTTGACTACACTTAGAAACAGGCGAAGTGATCTTTTCCAGAGACGAAGCTTCTGGAAGGAAGAAAACATAGAATGGCTAGGAAGTGCTCTAGCTCCTCCAAAATGGGACGACCCCTCCTGCAAGTTTTTGGCCATGACTTTGAAGGTTGAAAGATCTGAAACTTGTAATTTATCAGCAGGAGGTGATTTATTTGTTGCTTTCAATGCAGCTGATCAATCAGAAACTCTAGTTTTACCCCCACCTCCAGAAGGCATGTCATGGTGTCGTTTAGTTGATACGTCTCTTCCATTTCCTGGTTTTTTCTCTTCCAATGGTGAATCTGTCCCTGTCCCTGAGCAGATTGCAGGATTGTTTGCTTACAAAGTGAAGTCTCACAGCTGTATTTTGCTCGAGGCAACCTACCTTGATAGCTAAAAATTGTTTTGTTGTTTAATGAGGTAAATAAGTTTTACGACTCCTTTGTATATATTCAATAATTTGTTTATGGTGATTTTCCTACATTCAAGTGATAATTCTTTTTCCTTTGTCCTAGCTCCACAGTGACTGTAAATAACTAGATCCTGATCCCTTGTGCAATATATGGAATCCGAGACTGAAAATCACATTGTTATGAGTAGCAACTTTGTGAACAATGTGATTTTTTTATTAGCTTTTATACAAATATTCATATTGATTTCTGTGTTTCAAACCTGCAAGTCACTCCCGCAAGCTTATTGTATTTTTTCTTTTCCTTCATCATGGACTCGAGCTGCACCATAATTAGTCCGGAACACTAGTGTGCCACTCAAATCCAAATAAATAACAAATAATAATATATTATGGTTTTGGTTTGGATATATTGGCTTTACCGGCTGGAAAAAATTGTGCCTGATTAAATTTTTGAAAATTTGTGAGCATGACTTGTTTAAATTGATATATAAGATGTTCATTATTGATATGTAAAGATATAACATTAACAAATAAAATAAAATAATTATAATACAAAGTATAATAAACGTTGGGCTGTTTACTTGATTTAGTTTATATCATGAATTATATTTGTAAAAGCTCTTTTTGGTTTCTATAAATTAAAAATTTTGAATGAAATCTTTATAATGAAAAATTAGTTGTTATTAATATTATATATATATATATATGTTACAAAAACATAAACGATAATTTTATTTAGAAGATCGCCTTTTTATTTTTTTTAATTTCAATACCATTTTTCAGCCCTTGTATTATACAAAAAATGTTAAAATTTAATGCATAACCAATAAGTGCATTCAAAACCGCTTAAAATTGATTATAAATAAGGTTTGATTTAAGGAAAAATGATAACAAAATTTCACTGAAATGTATAAATAATAATTTAGTCTCTTAAAATGTCATAATTTTTTTTAAAATTTTTAGAGATTTTTCTGTTATTAATTAATTTATATTAATTAAAATTGTCCTTATTAGAAATAAATGATTTATAAATTTTGTTTAAATATTCACAACTTTTCTTCTTATATTCACGATAATGTAATACCAAATAAAAAATTTAACATTCAAAGTTATGATTTATTATTGTATTATTGTGAATATAAGAAAAAAAGTTATGAATATTTAAACAAAACTTGTGAATTTTTTATTTTTCAACAAAGATAATTTAATAATTTATATAAATTTATTAATGACAGAAAAGTTTCTAGAGACTTATGGATAATTATGATATTTTAAGAGATTAAATTATTATTTATATATTTCAGAAAAATTTTATTATCATTTTTCTTTGGTTTAATTTTTTCTTGGGCTAAGCTGATTAGTTTGATTCAGTTTAGCTTTTTATTTTTTGAAACTTAAACCAAACTTTATTATATTTATCCTATATATTTTTATAAATTTCTTTAAGGTTTTTTCATTCCTAAATTTAGTTATTTGTAAATCACTAATAAAAAATCTATTACAATGAAAATGTTGTTTACAATTTTTTTTTGATAATTTTGTTTAAATTTATAATCAAGTATTTGAAATATAATATATTAGTTTTTAATATTTAAATGTGCGAACTAATTGTTTAAAAAATATTGTCTTCCAGACATTTTTTTATTGAAAATAGTAATTAATAGTTAAAAATTATTAATAAATATGTACATGTTGATTATGAAAAGTATCTAGTAAAAAAAAAAAAAACCAAACTTGAACTGACCAAAACAGAACCAACCAAAATCAGTTAAAAACTGAACCAAAACTTTTGCTTTTTTCAATAAAATGAAATCAATCAATATCAAAGATTAAAAAATAATAATTTTAAATTCAAATTAATTATGGTTTAAATTTTTAGTTTAGTAAATACTAATTTATGCCCTGAAACTTGCAGCTTGTTGGGTTAGTGTGCTGACTGCACACACTCAAATTCGAACTGGCAGACCAAATGGGGTCAACAAATAATTAAAATAAATACTAATTAAATAACAGAATTAATAGTGTCATACTATCACATCGTCGTTTTTTTTTTTTGCTGTGGTTGATCATTAAATAGCTACAAGTTTTAGAAAATTAGTGTTTATGCGGCTTATATTGTTATAGTTGATTGACATGCATTTACATATGTTAGATTAATTTTGATTATTAGGTGATTATATTCGCCCTTTCTTTTTTAATATTTTTAAGAGCTAGTTCAAGCTAAGATGGAGGAAAAGTATTGGATGCTTAGGGATTTCATTTCTAGCTGTAGGCCTCCATTATTTTTATTGTCATGCATGTGTATTTAAATTACTTTGATTTACTTTATGCCAACTAAGAGTGCATTATTTTGATTTACTTTATGCCAACTAGGAGAGGGGTTGCGGACAAATGGAACCTTATTTGAGTGTTGACAAATATGATTAAATAATTAATTCAGGGCATGGCAAAATCTCTCCTGTGTAAGTATTTGACTAAAAGTGATATGTTTATTATAAGTGTCATCTACAACATTGTTCATATAATAACAACCAAAACAAAGTGCCATTGCGTTAAAAAAATATAAAAAATATTCTCAATCCCAACCATATTATAAACTTAATATGTAGGTAGGAAAAAAATAGAACAATAATTTTTGAAATTATTCTTGCAAAGAGGTAATAAATCCTTGAATAACTCGAACTATTTTGATAAAAGTGTCCAAATTCCATCAACTTCTGAAAGAATTGAAAAATAAAAACTTCTTTATTATAAAACCTTAAAAAAAATTTTAAATAAAAAGTTTAATCAAGGGGACCAGTGAATCTCTTGGTTGATGTTCTTGTGGCAAGAAAGATTGCAAAAAAGTAGGCTCCGTATGAACGAAATCTTTTCTTGCTCATGTTCTTATGACATAAGAAGATATACTATTTTTTTTTTAAAAAATATTACCTATAACATCAAGTATGAAAGTCTTTCTCTTCTTCATCTTTTACTGAACAAAAATAAGAATAAAAATCATGACCTCATGATATCACGAATATTAAAATCTCTTCTAAATTGTTGATATCAAATCACAAAGATGCAGTACATGTTATTATTACCTTAAATTATCCAGATATATTAGTACATTGTTTCAAGTTTACTATTAATTATAACCTCCCATGCATCCCACGGTTATTAAATTCTAGCATTATGGTGAATCTTGAACTAATTTACTTAAAAATTTATCTAACACAAAATATTCTAATGATGGAGAAATTCTTGCTTCTACCATTGAAATTGTAAACCAAGTGAATGATTACATCTTCCCATTACTGCCTTGGTGAATTAGTTGAATTTTTAAGTTAAAATAAGAAACTAATTATAAGCAATTTTGAGATATAGGAGGGAATTTTGAGGCATAAGGAAACATTGAACATTTACTAAAAGATTTAAATTTATAAGTAAATAAATAAAATAATTTTAAAAAAGAGAGAATTAATTGATTATGAGATCAAAAAATTGATTTTATTTTATGGTAGTTAAAATATATACTACAATTACTTGAGAAAAGAAAATTTCTTTTAACTAGAATGAATTATAAGAATTCAATTTAAAGAATAAGCACACACACATATATAAAAGATTTGGCGGTTGATTGAGAATAATAGATAAAACATATCAGAAAAATAATGTGTGTGTATATTTATAATAAATAACATATAATTTATATTAACAAATAACACAATAAAAGAAAAGGGTTTTGGCATGGGCTGAGGCCCACTCCAATCTTAGCAATTGTACCTAGAAGACACGCACACAAAGGATAATTTGCCTGGTTCGTTTTGCGGCACTAGAGCAATTGGAGGGAGAGAGAACGAGGGAAATGAGAGTTTAGGAATTAGGCTCTATGATCAGATATTTACAGGATGCATTGAGGCTTTTTAAGACCACACTCTCGTTTAGAGCTGTTGTTGCCTAAATTGATATGTGACTATTTGTAAGTTAAAGGATAACAGATAACTTAAGGGTTTTTTTTTTTTTTTATGTGTGTAAACTTTGTGTTTGATAACAAATGAGTATAATCATAAATTTAATTATGAGAAATTCATTTATTATTTAAATTTTGTCAAGCATACTTGTAGCTTGGCTATATATTATTATTGGTGTTTCTTTTCGAGCATGCTTGTGAATGCAGATTAATAATGTTTGTTGAAAGAAATTATATATTATTTAAGAGTAGTTTATTTTTTTCAAATATGCTTGTAAATTGAGTTGATCGAATGAAATATTTATATTTCTTTTCAAGCATACTTGTATACGATGTGAATGTTGTATATATGTGCGGTATTCATTGGGGGATGGGTTGATGAGGAGATGATGATGTTGATATATATATGATTTAGTGACACGTCGTTTGTCTCCACTATGCGCACAGTGCTTGGCTTTTTTCAAAGCTTCGTTCCTTAATAGTTACCTGGTCAGGTTTGTAAAGAGAGAATGTGGGACAATGACACCTCTTGTTGGGGTGTTTTTTTTCAAAGAGGGGAGCCATAGTCTGGGCTTGGGCTATGTACCTTTTGCCAGGTATATCTCAAGCATTAGAAATGCTTGGTTAGTCCAACATGTGGGCCAAACCGTATTTAACCTTATGGTTCCAGTCAGCGAAATAAGGATGGATAGAGTAACAAGGGTGATTATTGGTATTGCATATTGACATATTATGAGCTATATTCTGTGAAATTCTTATGTTATAACTGAATAATTCTTATGCACTCACTTATATATTGGTTGTATAATTGTGTTGTTGTAGTTTGTGCATGTATGGTTAAACTTTAGGTTATTGAGATGTTAGTACTCACCCCTCTCTTTAACACTTTAAGTAAGCTTAACAGAGCAAAAGGGAAGCATCTAGAAGCTTGGGACTTAGCTTGAGTAAGCTTTAAGTCCCATTTCAGTTTGTAGAATAATCATTTGCCAGTATAAGATTTATTTGTCATTTAGGTTGAGTTTAGAAATTGTTTGTTATTTATGAATGATTGAAATGGCATTGTTAGTTGAGACCTAAGGCCATAGAAGTTGCTTAATGAATTTATTTAGAGTAAATATTTTAATATAAAATTTTAAGTATCGAGACATTTATTGAAAAAAAACATTTGAGCATTTATGGTGGAATGTAACACGCACGTTTGCAAGCTTTAGTAAGTCTATACTTTTGTTGAAAGAATATTTATTTTTTTATTCCTTCTACCATGGTAGACTCTTTTTTACTATGGTAGAGTGTTATTTATGATTTTA